TTTTGCAAAAAAAAGTTGGGGCTCCTATTTAAAAAAACAAATTATTGTAGGACCTCTCCAGAGTTCCAGACCCAATGCCGTTCCACAAAATTTGAACCCAACAAATTTTGTAGAGGTCCTTTTCGATTTGGAACTGCGTTGGAGAAAACAGGACATTTTGTACATCATTATCATTAGCAGTTTTCTAAGAACCCACGCCAGTTATTTTTTTTTTTAGTAAAAAACTAGGTACGGAAATATAAGTAATTTGGAAATTTGAAATTTTATGTTATAGATAGGTACTCCACAATTTAATCAGTTTCCATAAGGTTATATAGTAGGTACATGAGTTCGAACGACCATCAGTAATGCATAGATTAAGGACATTATCATAAATTTAAAGAGCTTATTGTTTTATTTGAATCTTACTCATGATTTAATACACATAAACGGTCTACTAAAGAACGTCTATATTCGAGATAAGCTTTTCTCTTACTTTCGCTTATGCCGAATTTCCTAGCGATACATTAGGTTTTCCATATGCTTACCGTACTTATTTAAATAAATATGCGAGTTTCTTCACCTTTCCTATACAACACCTTAGTCGCACCATATGAAAATACGAGATGCTGTAATGTTGACGACCTCAAATGTTAATTATCATGCACACTTAGGATTGTTACATAAGCGTCAAACACCTGCCGATGGTACAATGGTTGTATTTATAGTTTTTGTAATATTAGTTGTACCAATAAAAGAAGTAGTTTACTACTTTAATATTAGCAGAAGATAATAATAATAAAAGGTAATTAGTGTTTAAAATTAAATAGTACAGGTTATTATGTATGGAACCCATACGTCTTAATTAAGACTACTCACAAGCATGGCTTGTAGTTAATATTTATGAACATATTCCATGTCGGATTATTTATTATTAACATATTGCTCGCATTCGTCTTGCTAATTGAAATCACATTAGAGATAACATTAATAACGACCGTGGATTTTAAAATCAAGAAAAAAAATTCATTAATTATAATAAATTGCTGTTAATTTGATTATAGTATTTTTCTGATAATTGTACGTTTATTTCTAGTATCTTTTCCTGTGCCTAATCCTCGTTAATCAATTAAGAACGATTTTTAAATGTTTTTTTTTTTTGATAAAATAAATAATATTTTCGTATGGAACTAAAGAGCCGGGCAGCTTCACATCCAAAGAGCCGCGTGTGGCTCGCGAGCCGCAGGTTGCCGACCCCTGGTCTAAACCAACTCCAACCGACGGTGGCCTTTAGACCCGAATCAGGACAGCATCAGTTCACCTACTGTTAGCGAAACCCTTTACCAATTTGTCCAAAATAAAATAATTTTTTTTGAAAATTATAGCTAGTTAAAAAAATCTGCAAATGTTTATTTCTTAAAATTGATGTATAGAATAGGAAAATCGGGC